ACATTGAAACTATGTTGAGCGTATTACTGCGTTAAGTACGCGCAGTCATTGAATCACTTTTTATAAGCATTTTTTTTATTACAACCGTAACCAGATAAGAACACTTAAACCTATAACGAACTATTCTTAAAACTATCACTCAACAGTACTCTTTAATCCGACAGCTCTAGAATTTAAAATTGCCCTTAAAAAAGTGAACAAGCGAACATGAAAAAACTAGCCAAACAGGCACGCGGATCGTCCACAGTGCATGCCGCGTAGGCCTAAATAAAAAAAAATAGCCAGAATGAGTTAAATATTTATTGTAGCTAAAATGACATTAGCTCGTGTGCTAAAAAAATCTTATACTCGCTGTACGTGTACATGTACACTTCAGAAGCATGTTTACACGAATCACATCAATTAACATGGCTAGCAGTCAGCATAACTTACCAATGATAAAGAACCGCATTCAATTTCAAGTTACAATTGTATTCAGTTCATGCTATCTCGAACATCTTGATCGATTTATACTCTAATAAGATAGTAACCGATGAATATTTAATCAAAGCGACTGAACACAACTTATACCGTAGTAGCAAATGTAAATTTACATCGTAAAAGTCTGAGAAAACAAGCGCATTTGTGCGTGTTTCCGTACCGTGGCATATCCGTGCAAATATTCCACATCTCACGAGGGACAAATTATAATGATTATTTCTACGCATTTGAATATTTGCGCTACCTTTCACTTATAGAACAGCCCAATCCTTACCTTATGAAAGTATAATGCCTTATCATGACTTTTTCTAAAACCAAATAAAACAAATATTTGTAATATTAATATAGCAATATCTTTTATTTACAGAATAAGAAATGAGGATGCATAATTGTGATTAGATATAGGCCTTCAGTCATTGTTTTCTTAGTTTATGTGGTTTTTGTTTTATTGACTACATTACAATTTCGTAATTTGTTCTCATTAATTGATATTAAAATGGTACTTGATCTTGCAGTAATTCGTCTTGCCCTTTTGTTTAAATGTAGGCCTATCTAATGTTTACTGTTGTATGAATTAATTATTTTTAAGTCTCATTAAATTGTATTTCTTGTGTACAGATTTCCCTCCAATTAAATACGGTACCACTTCTAGGACCAGGGTTTCCATGGTCTTTACCAGTTTTGATCTGTAATTAGAATAATAAAGATAAAAGACATTATGTTAATTTGGGACCACAGAAAAGCGGTCTTTAATTGGAGGTAGTCTTTAATTAAAGAGAGACCTGTACTTCTTTTGGATAGTGTAAGCTCTTGATAGTTTTCATGTTGAAATCTTTTTGTTTTGATATTTTACAAGTATTGCACCTAATGAAGCATTTTTTTGTTGTTGTCACTGTAGTTATACTTAATAAAATATATCAATGATATACTATAAAGGATATTATCCAAGGACTGTTTTATCGATGAGCCGAAGCTTTCAATGGACCTACCTATCCGGAATGTCAATCAAACTTAACAATTAACCAATCAGAACAGGGCTATAAAATAAACACACGTGTTGTTCCCCAATCGCACGTGTTTGCGTATGTTTTAACGCTGTTGATTGGTGGGAACTTAGCAACAACATCAAAGGGGCAGAGACTTAGCAGAAAGGTCCATTGTGAAGTTACGCGCCTATACGTAAAATTGCTGCAGGCGATTGCCGACTTCTTTCGGTGACGCTGATTGGTTAATCGAATCTAGGAGCCTTCCCGATTGCACCGGGGATAGCTACGCAGTTCAACGATTGCAATAAAAACTGTTGCGACAGCGTAGCGATTTTATGGAAAACAACAAGCGCTAGGGTAGGCTAGTCTAGGCAGGCTTTGAGTGTGGTGTTTCGAGTATTTGTGTGTGTGCGCTTGCATTTTTTGGGGCTGGACCGGGCAAGGCTGTTTTCTCAATGTAGTAGGTTTTAAGCCGTACGCGTACAATACCATATGTTTTTTTGTTTTTGTTTTTTTTTTTTTTTTTTTGGTTGTTTTGTTTTTTTTTTTTGTTTTTTTTTGGTTTTTCTTTTCTTCTTTTTTCTTTTTGTATCTTTAAAATTAAATCAAAACTTCGAATAATCAGGCATCAAGCCAGCCAATACAAAAATGGTTGAATGACCATATAATTTTCACCAGGCTACATGGGAATAGGGTACCTCTGTGTGCATATACAAGACATTCACATATTGACAAAATTAGAGCAAAGTACCTCTCAGCGTGTTTAACTCACAAACAATGCTTGAACTGTACCACTGCGCCACCCACTTTCATGTATCGTCTATTCATTCATTAATAAAAATAATAATAATAATAATTGCGTTTACATAAGATGAACATGTTGTCGTGCACTGTTTGTGTAAATGTCAGGGAAGTTGTGTAGATATAATTAATTTTCATGTGAATTACATAATTATTTCTCATCGAAGACGCCTCTAGGACAATGTTAAGTATGCTAGACCTATATTCTGTTCTAAAATGAATGTAACGAGGAAAGGTTCAGCTTCGGGTACACATAGTTGAGCTTGGTTGAGCACATTCTCTCGTTACGTTCTCGTGTGACAATATGATCCAAGTTTTGAAAGATTTCTCGAATCAAAATACTGTAAAGCTATTTATTTAGGCGTAGGCCTAACCTTAATTTTCACGATTCACGATAAAATGAAGATCGCTAAATTTAAGGGTGTGGAAAATCGCAAAATTCTGAATGATAGTTTTCTCATGGTTTTGTCAGCTATTGCGGGTATACAACACATTATTCCCTGAATTGAAAAGTCGCGAAAATAAAAGTAAGCGAAATATTTCAACTTGTAAAATCGCGAAAATAAAGGGCCACGAAAATATGGGCTTTGTACCGTGGATGAAGTGCAGGGAAACCGGTCAGCCTGAAAGTATAGCTTGATGCATGATTTGTTTGACCAGAATTTGCTGGGATAGACATACAGACTTAAACATGTTCTCTGAAAAATACCATAGAGTAACATTGTTATAACGAAAATAATACCGATGGCAATAACATTATAATAATAAGAATATCAATAACGCAAATAATAATAGTAATAAAAACGATGATAATGGTAATCATGATGATGATGTTGGTGATGATTATAGTTACTGTGATCAAGGATGATGATGATAGTCATAATGGTAGTGATGATGATGATAATTACAATGATAATGATGACGATTACTTTTATACTGTCAGTGGTAATAACAAATATTAATAATAATAATAATATATTGTAATAATAACAACAGTAATAATAATGATGATAATTTAAATATCAATATGAAAATAGTAATAATTATAATAATATTAATGATTATATAATAATATGAATAATTACAGTAATAATGGATCAATAATTGACAGAGAGGCATTATGTCAGTAAGATGATGATGATAATTATAAATGGTGACGATTATTATAATAAGTTCAATCTGTTCAATACTAAATACATCTAGGTCTATGCGTCTTGCTCGAAAAATAAATATAAAGAATGTGTAAATATGCACCACTTTAAATTCTCAATAAATATAGCATTGCACGATGATTGTCTCACAAGATTAATGTTTCGCAAGTGTTAGAAATAATGCACCACTGAACTCTTTGGGTTACGATTCCTGTTGCATCACCTTGGCAACGCTGATTGACAGCAAGTTTGATCAGCTCTACTTCGATAGGATACGACCACCTCGTGTATTATTCTCAGTTCAAAAATGAATGTAACTAGACATAAGTGTGTTGTTAAACATTTTGTTTCAGAAAGACGCGATAAACGCTCATCGAGTTAATGCGATTGCGTCAATTTTCCGTATTATTTCTTCCCGTGCTGATTCTGTCTTTCCGTCTATATCGCAACTTCTGGTAGTCACATGAGGTCACGTGGCTGTCTTGCAAGTTGGTGCGTTCCTAAACGAAGTTATCGCGCGCGTCTGTTAAATATAGAGATTTTATCAACCAATCACAGAATAGATATAAGGATGTTTACATTTTTAATGTTTTGACAACATTAATTAAACTTTGCGTATTTCACAGACTATAAATTCGTAAAAATGAAACGTTATATTATATAGGCCCTAATTAATTTTTATTACTCCTACTTTTTAAAAATTCTTATTAATGATACACTGTTTTGGATGAGAAAACATATAGGCCCTACCTTTAATATTTCGCTTCTCTTCGCTAACGTTGATTGCGTGAATATTATGAGATATTAATAACTTTTATGGCCCTCTGACAACATTAAATAAATTGAAAAATGAGACATTAATGAATTATGAATTATGATATACTAAAAATTGTGGATTTAAATAAATGATGATGTTTCATTGGCGTTGCAGTGATTGAAAATAAAATATTGATGTACAACTGTACTGATGATGATTACCATCGATGAATCATAAGGAAATTCTTTATAAAGCCCTGTCCGCGGACTATCATATTTTATTGGACAAAAACATGTGAAATGCCTGAATATGATCATGATGACATCACATCATGGCCATATATAGGCACATCGTGACTATATATGGGCATACAACAGTTTTCTTGTCAAATAAAATTTGATAGTCTGGAAACTAAGCTTAACATTAGTTGTAATGCCATGGGCAAACACTGCGCAGACGGTCGCCGTCCGACGCGACTCCAGCAGAGAACAGATCATTTTAATGACGATCAACTCAGGGTGCCACCGACAAATTTACATATCAGCGTCGCGTCGGCAAGTGCTCACAGAAAGCGGAGAGGAAACCAGTGTGGCGCCAGCGGGGGGGGGTAAAGCCGGGCACTTACTGCGCCGTACGACGGTCGTAATGGCCGTCGTAAGACGAACCTAACTCCTTTTGCTTCCAGCGGTAGACGACGGGATGATATGCCAGTCTGAACGGATCGTCATTAAAAACGATCCGTGCGCGCGTTGTCACGTTGCGTTCTTAATTGAATCACGTGAGTGAGTAATATTTATTAAATATTATCATTTTATTTTCTTACAGAGGAATTTAGACACTGGTGGCATTATTGCGGTACAGACGGTAAGAACAGCTTTAATTTCTTAAGGCATTTTACTTTACTCATAGGCCTGCCATAATAAGTTATTGTACTTTTGGAATCCCCTACGTTTTAAACACACGTATATTAAAAGGCATTTCTAAAGTGGTGCTATGGAGATCGTAAAATATATACTTTGGAACAAAAATGGACAACTTCAAGTGAGAGTGCAGACCGTATTACATAGTCGTCAGTGTAATAATGTTGAAAGTTGAAGGCCATGTGTTCCAAAAGAAGACGTATAAACAAATACTGCTTTTATGGGGCTTATTAGAGCACATGTTTGTTTTATACTAAAGAGGGAAGACATATTACTAATAGGGGTGGCGCCAGCGGGGGGTGGGGTGGGGCACACAGGGCGGTGACAGGGCCCCAGTCGGGGAGAGTTGGTTCCCCGTTGGGGAGAAAAAACACAATTCGTCGGGGAGAAGAACAATTTATATGACTTTTCTCATATTAGTTATAAATTGTCATCATTATAGGGGTTTCCCCCTTGACCACCCGAACAGGCCCGTTTGCTCTCGTCGGGGGCATCGGACCCCCTTCGGGGACCTCAGACCCCGACGGCAATTTTCCTGGCGCCAACCCTGACTACTAATAGTCTAGTTTGATAGTATGTTTATCATATACAACATATTAACAATAATAATCATAAAATAGTGATAGTAGGCTAATAATGAGGATGAGTGTTCAAATTGAATTTCACTGTGATTTGTTCTTGATAACGAATTATAATTATGATTATGATGATAACGATAATGATGATAATAATAATGATGAATAACGATAATGATAATGATTTCGACGACGATAATGATGATCCCGATCATGGTTGTGTTGACGATGATAATTTTGAAGACGATGGTAATTACAATGAAAATGGTTTTGTGACAATGATGATGATAATAACAATGATGATGATAATAACAATGATGATGATAATAACAATGATGATTTCTATGCATACGGAATATGCCTATACGTTTATCCTTTGCAACAATTCATTACCAATTCTAAATAATACATGAAAATATCTTACACTAATATACAAATTCCAATTATTTAATTCGAACATAATAGTATACATTACGAATATTCATGAGTATAAAAGATGCAACGTTATATTGATAATTCTATTTTATGTGTTATGGACACGGTTCAATGATGCGTGACTTACGCTATGTTACTTAATTACTCTAATAACGCATATAACAGCTTACTGTAGTATTAATCAAACATAATATAGGCCTATAATAACATCACTGTACGGATGGTCGACTTGGTTTCACCCTATAGTAGACGTGAACTGTAATAAAACTCGTATAATTAATGCAGGATCGATAGTTGTTTATTATTTATCGCAAAAGATCTTGATACTTAAGCATTTAACACCCTGTTTTCTCATAATAGTGTTAGGTTATTAAAATGACCTATTTTAACGAAATTATTGCAGCAAAATTAAAAACAAACATAATGGTTTGCTAATGAGAAATGATAATCATTGTATTAGACAGTTTTTATCATACACTTGAGAAATGTTAGAACCCGGGAGCTATCTCATTAAGGACCTGAACATTGTAAAATTATATTCCTAACTAGCTTTATTATCGCAGTTCTTACCACAGAGCCAAAAGTTCATTAATTGTTTGTTGATTGTAGTGTTTGTGAACTATCGTTTTCCATTATAATTCATTTCAGTTTATGCGTGTAGGCCTAATTGCTTTTTACGAAGAGTACGGTATCCATGAAAAGCGCTGCAGAGAAAAGACAATATTATGATACAGGTTGCTGAATCAGTATTCGTATAGCCAAGCATCACGTTGCGTCGCTCTGCAAGCGCCTGATTGACGGTGACATTCAGAACGAATCGTCATTAAAAACGGTCCGTTGCGTGCGCAAATTCAATACGCTACCACCATAATCACTAGGAACCACATGTTACAAACGCAATCGTAACGCAAATACATTATATGGGTTTAAAGCCTATTTCACACGAGAGTAATTTAGAGCAGTGGTTCCCAACCTAGAGTCCGTGAAAAATGATTGGGGGTCCGCCAAGTCAAATAGGCCCGCGAAAAATGTGGGGCCCGCTAGATTATTAAAACAACTTTTTCAAGATTCCGTTATTTTGTCTTGTCTTACAACCACAATGTGATCATGTCTTGACAATAATTAAATTCCTTTGTGACTTCGTTCACTGTTTTAACTGGCATTATATTTTAATTCCAATATTTTATTGATGATCTGATAGAATCTTTTAAATTAGTTTTTATATACGCTTAATGTAAATATGTCTAGTATACAAGAGTCACTTTATGGTGGCAGTCCTCAAATAATGTAGGCCTATATCTTGTTTACATGTATTCTCCTGTATTGTTTTTACCTGGATATTATAAATAAATTTAAAAAATCAGGAGGGAGCCCTAAATTTGACAAAATCAAAAGCATATGGGAGATAACAGAATATTACATTCTGACAGTGTCATTTCCGTTCATCTAAAAATAAATATATAAAGTTTGTACCTCAGCCTCAACCATGGTGGGACTAAGGTAGAGTAAATCCTCTATCTGTAAAATTTACTGTCTGTTTATATTCATAAATCTTATTAGTAGAATATCAATCATGAGTCGCCATAAATTTTACAAATAAAAATTAAATGGGGGATTATATTACCTTCATATTTTGAGTCTGACTGTGCCATTTCCGGCGATCTAGAAGTGCCATAGACATAAACAAGTTTTGTACCTCAGTCCCAACCATGGTGGGGCTGAGGTGGTTTTTATTTCAAATTCTATGATTCGCCACTGTTTAATGTTTAACTTTCGTAGAGAATCATCTTTTATCTATAATCCTATTGTTGAGATAGGGACAAATGAGTAATATTTAGACATCCGTGAAGACTTTTGGCATGTGCTAGAGGGATCCACGAACGCAACACCACTGATTTAGAGCACAAACGCATCTGAAATACTTCACAAAAGAAATGGAATTTTTGCGTGTCTTCCTTTATAACGTCAAGCTGTGGGATTTCGTCTGATGCAAGTGTGAAGGAGTACCGTACTTTTTTTTCGCACTTTTTGAGGAGCGTTTATTCAAACGAGGCGCTTATAAAAGCAGAGTGGAAATTGAGGGGGCGCTTATGGATTTAGATGAAAATGGAGGGGAGCTTACAGCAAGTTGGAAAACTCACGGAGTGAATTTGTGGGGGGGGGGGGATTATTTTCAGTACTCCATGAACAAAGTTCATATTGAGAACGATGTGAAGTCGAGTAGAATTACTATGGAGGACGATAAATATAAATGACAACAATCAAAATATTAATTTATTGAACTCTCGCTCTCTATTATACGAGTTTGTTTTAATGATAATGACAACCGGTAACGTACCTCCCTATTATTTATTATTTTAATTTACGCTTTATTCTATAAATAAATACCGGTACTGTATTATATCTGGTTTTTTTGTTTGTTTTGTCACTAAACTAGAAAATTAGCAGGAAATTAAGTCGGTGATGTACTGTACTGTATGACTGATTTTTTAAGCGCTTATCGAGAGGGGCGCTTATTCAAACGGGGCGCCTAGCCTCGGCTGGCCGCGGCGGTAGAAGCGTGACTTCACACAGCTTCGTAGATACGTTATAGTATGTTTAGTTTGTACCAGTTACTGTATGGATTCCATGAACCATCAACCAAGCGCTACATTAATCCACTTCGCAAACGTAACGATTCTCAGCAGTTTACGTTTAATTCTAAACAATTAGATAGCCCTATTAACCCAGCATGGAACGTCTCCATTTACCGCAACGCTGTCTACAATCCATTCAATTAATTGAATTCGATGAATTATTAATTGAAATTTTCCTTAAATTCTGAACCGCGATCACTAACATTGCTTTTAGAGGTCCTCTTTAACTATTTGTAAAGTTAATATTATAATCCTACATGTGTATTAACTATTAATTAACGTCATTAGTTCACGCATGCGCCACATGTTTTTTTCTTTTAAAGAATTTTAACCTCCAAGGACTGAACGTATACGAACAGGAGTCATAAAAAATGGTTTAGGTCTATATTAGCAAGCATCACAGGGGCGAATTCTGCATTTTTCAAACGGGGGAGGCGGGTGGGGGAGGAGGGGCACAACCTATTCCAAAGTGAGTAGCGCTAATTTCAATATATGCATTGCAATTTTAAAAGTGGAAAAATTGGAAGGGGTACGTCGTACTGGATCCCCGCCAGCATCAAACGCAACCACAAGACTCTTGACTCTTGTAAAATGTTCTTTCTTTTTAAATATTTTTGGCATAATACTTTTATAGCCGTTAAAAAAATATATATTGGCCGAAAATTACTTACACCAACAAATCACTGAAATCTCTGTTCTGAATTATTTGTTGTTAATCGTATTTATTTTGTTTTAATTAATCTTTATTAAATAATTAAATAATTTATTTTATTTCATCATATTAATTCCATATTTGGGAGGATTTTTATTCCATAATTTACCACACGCAATATAGAACAGAATTTGTTTTGATTTTTTTGTTTTTGGTCAAAATTTAAAAAAAAATTGTCCACTCTCTAAATTCAGTTTTCACGAAGGTCCTATGGGAGTAATGTCATAATTTTTATATGGTCCATTCCGTTAATTTGAACTTCCGACAAACCGATCCGACAAACCGATCAGAAAATCTATCAATCAGAAAGACACATTTATGTGAACACTTCTTAAATAAATAACAGTTGTCCCCAAACGGGCATTAAGTAAACAAAGGAAACGGACATTACAATATGCTACTTGATCGTGTCGTATTGTGTCAATTCCATCTTTTTTTTTTAAATTACCGTAGCGAATTGTGATGAAATTGGGTCATCCCTGTAGGCGGATTAATCGGCTTGTGACAGCGAACTGTAAATAGCAAGTGATTCAATTTAGCCGTAAAGTAGGCCTCTTATTATGGTCATTTATCTGGAATTGTTAGG